GAGGCCCCGCCCCACGCCGAGGCCCCGCCCACGGTCACCTTGCCCTGAAGGCTTGAGGAGGAAGTCACGCCAGCCCCTCCCTGTCTGTCGTCTTTCCCTGTCGCCTTTTCACACGCGGTCTGGTCGAGGAGTGGAGGGGGGTGACGGGGTGACACGGCCGCAGAGCCCCTGCCCAGGCTTCCTGGACCCAGGCTGCTCTACAGGCTCTGCTCGGCGGCCCAGGGAGGCGTGAGCTGGTGCCCCCGCCGCACCCTCTTGGGATCCACGCTGGTCCGAGGCTGCCATGAGCCGGTTACTTCCCCTCCCTGCGACAGAGGCTGGCCCAGTGTTGGCCTCCCTTCCGTCTGTCACTCACTGGCCTTGGGATCAGGTAGCTGTCACTGCTGATAATAATGTCCCCTGCTGAGGCCCGAGGAGGCCCAGGGACACCGACACTTCCCTGCTGGCCGCTGGGCTCTGCGGGGCAGGGAGGGGCTGTAGCTTTCTGGCCCTTGAGGCTAGGGGGCCTCTGAGAGGCAGGTGGCTGCCAGAACTAGGACTCACTATGGCTGAGCAGCTGGGCTTGGCCACTTCCCTGCCCCTCGTCCATGGCTCAGGACATGGTGACTTCTTAGCTGAGAGGAAAGCAGGCTGGACGGGAGATAAGCCCCCAGGGAAGGGAGGACAGGGCCAGCAGGGCTGGCTGTTTCTTAGGACGCACCCCTGGACTGGCGGCTGGTGATTCCCCACGCCCCCTCTGGAGCCCTGCCAGGTGATGTGGGTGCTGAGCTCAGACACGGCCCTGGTGCCCCGAGGATAATCACCCCCTCAGCTCTGTCCACCTTCCTCCTCTCTGGACTTTCCACCCTGGCTCGGGACTGCAGACCCAGGAGCAGAGAGCCCACTGAAGCGGGTCTGGGCCCCAGAATCCAGGTGACCTGGGGATTTGGGACATGGGGCTCAGACCGCAGCTCTGAGAGGGAGGTGGCCTCCTGGGGCAGGTGGGGTCCCCAGTGGAGAACTCTGGATAGCACTGTGTCTAGCACACCGGGGGCCTGTAGCCTCAAGGGGCCCCACCCGCCCACTCGTGGGTGGCATGACTCCCTTCCAAAGGGACAGGCTTCTCACCTCCCGAGGGTCAGAGGCTGAGCACACAGGGGCCTGCACCACAGAGAGGACATCCACTCCCCTGCAGAGGGGACCCCAGGTAGGGTCCAGAGACAGAACCCCAGAGAGATGGTGGAAGGGACCTCTCCTCCTGTCACTCCCGACCCCTGGGGGTTCGCAGGCACCCCTGCTATGCTCCGTGGCTGCCGGGCGGTCGCAGGGCCTCTCCTGTTTCTCGTGCTGGACGTTGTATGGTTCTTGGGAAGAAGGAAGAGGGGGGCAGAGAAGGAGAAAATGCTTGGTCTGAAGCCCCGCCTCCAGCTGCAGGCTGTGTAGACAGAGGCACGAGAGGTGGCAGTACCTCAGAATAAGTTAGTCATCCCCGTGAGGAGACAGACAAGGTGCCAGGTTATTCTGGACTGAATTGTGTCGCCCCCAATTCACGCATTGAAGTCCTAGCTCCCAGCACCTCAGCATCTGGCCTGACTTGGAAGCAGAGTCATTGCAGTTAGGTTGAGAGGAGGTGACGGTGACACCGGGTAGGATGCGCCCTCAACTACAATGGCTGCAGTCCCTGTAGAAAGGGGGAACGTGGGCACAGACACGCACAGGGACCGGCCACGTGGGAAAGGGCGACGCCGACAGGTCAAGGGGCTGCCCGAGCGGGAGGGAGCCGGGAGCGGACCGTCCGGGCCCTCGACGGAGCCTCTAGACGCGATGCCGTCAGCGTCTGCTGCTGGGGCCGCCGGCCTGTGGCCCTCATTAGGGCCACACAGACACTGTGAGCGGCGCGAGCAGAGCGCCTGCCCGTGGGGGCGAGGTTTCACGGGGCGCTTCCCAGAGGGTCAGCCTAAAGACCTGGGAGTCTGAGCTCGAAGTCGCTGAGGTTGCCAGAAAGGAAGAAAAGAATCGATTTAGATATCCACAAAGTATCTTCAGGCAGAGACACTCTCGAAGCACTTGGGCCCCGGTTTGGGGCTAGAGACAGGTGTCATTGACCAAGTCGTATTGTTTTCAGCCCCAAGCTGATTAGACAGCTGTGGCGTCCATGGCCGAGGCTGTGAAGATGACTAAAGGAAACCTCCTAGAAACCTCCTAAAAATCTGGCGGGGGAGCCCGCACTCAGACCAGCCTCGCAGCCTCCAGCGGGAAGAAGCTACCTTGCCCTCCCCAACAGGAAGCCTACTTCGCGACCCAGGCAGGAGGAAGGAAGGTTTTCTCCTGGCCCAGCAACAGCCCAGCCAATGAGAGACCACCACACTCAGCCAATGAGAAGCCACCGCCACCCTGCTCGCTTGGTCTCCGCCAATGAATTTCTGCTGGTAACCGCCCCTCCCAACCCCTCGGTTTTCTCTATAGAACTTTTCTCCCCGTCGTCTCTGCACTGGCCTATGTATGGTTCCTTAGACTTTGTGTGTCTCGAATTGCAATTCCTCTGTTATTCCCTAATAAGCCCATTTTTGCTGGTAAAATAACTATTTGTTTAAGGTTGGCAAAACTGCCCAGTCTATGCACTTGGTGACAGGTGGGCAGCCAGTGCTGGCGGCAGCACCTGTTCCTAGGGGAGGAGGTCAGGCCAGGTGCCATCTCTGTGCATAGAGCAAGTGGGGGGGGAGGGGCCGGGCGCGACAAATCCCGGTGGGTATGAGAACGCTATGACAGTTCACCTGGCCTCTTAAGGGTCCCTGTCGGGCATAGACACGTGGAGGCCGGGGGCAGGAGGGGGTGCAAAGCCTTTATTAGACTAGAGCGTGTGCATACGGAGACATGCAGGGCCTGCTGTCACAGCTCTGTCTGGCGGGGGGCAGGTGATCCCCAGAGGTGGGGTGGACACACGGGAGCAGGGCAGGGAGGGCCGGTGGAGCTGGCGCAGGGCCTTTGGAGGGCGCTGGAAGGCAGATGCGCGTCCGGGGGGACGAG